CTGTATAATTAACCGTATCGTTCAACTTTCAAAAATAAACTAACAGTTGCTATAAATCGCGATCGCACGATGTACATGTAATAAGGACCAAATTCTCAGTACTTTAAGTTATTGTTCTAAGTATTGTCAATGCTTTGGTAAATACTTAAATAAGAATTCGATATAATCGTTATAATAGCCACTCTTCATACACAGCATATTGTCAATCTCTCACCAGGGGGCGTATTACGCCAACAGTATACAAATCATAGGAAGCGCTTTGCTGAAGTTACCGTTGTCGATAGGTAGCGCCTTGTGGAAATTTCCGGTTTTGGTTGCAGAAGGATAAGGTTACGTGCCATAAAGCGATGTCGATAGGTAGCGCCTTATGGAAGTTTCCGGTTTTTTGGAGCCCATGCCATAAAGCGGTTAGCTAGCTAACCGCTTAAAAATGATCCTGTAAATTTTATGTTCTACCTACAGAATAGGAGTGATCCTACATACTGTTCAAGGTATACAACAGAAGTTTCCTACAATTACACAAACAGTCCTGATGAATACGAATCTATAAATTGGTGTGATCTTATATATTGTCAAATTAAAGGCAAAAAAAAGTTTGACCACACATATTGTCCAAAGCATTGGTGGTCATACAAATTGCCCAGAGCAATCCTGAGATCTGATTTTACATATTGTATAAGGCATACAAGAGGGGTTATCTCATATTGTGTTAGGCATACAAGAAAGGTGAGCCTACAAATTGTCCAAAGCATAAAAAGCTACTGATTTGTCGTTAGAAATTGTTGCATACAGTGACGAAAAATAGCAAGTTTTGATGCTGAGACAGGAATTAAAACAATTATACAAGTTTTTCTTCGCCATGTTAGTATCCTGTACCAAGATAACCCGTTATGACCTTGAAATGAGCAATTAATCTTTTTTTAATCCAAAAGCTACTTCAACTGATGTTTCCTCTCTAACTATAGCACGATGAGAGCGTGTGCATTATTTTTTAAATAAATAATGTTGTTACCCGGTAGCCAGAGAATTTGCAAATTTGTATTCAGATTGATTGCTGAATAATCAGTATTTTCTGATTTCGTGTCAAATGCATAATATTTCTATATACATGTAATTATATGAATAACATCACTTCAATTTAGTCACATATTAAAGTTTAATTAAACGAGTATAGTAGGAATTAAAAAAGTATTTGAATACATCTTTTCGTATCGTTGTTTATACAATTTTTGAATTCAAAAAGAGAGAGTAAAGTTGAAGGTAACCTAGCTACAGGGACCAATAGCACAGTCTATCTACAGGACAGATAGATAGATATCCCTATATTGAAGGTTGGACCGGACAGGTACCCCTATATTGAAGGTTGGACCGGACAGGTACCCCTATATTGAAGGTTGGACCGGACAGGTACCCCTATATTGAAGGTTGGACCGGATAGGTACCCCTATATTGAAGGTTGGACCGGATAGGTACCCCTATATTGAAGGTTGGACCGGATAGTTAACCCCTATATTGAAGGTTGGACCGGATAGGTACCCCTATATTGAAGGTTGGACCGGACAGGTACCCCTATATTGAAGGTTGGACCGGACAGGTACCCCTATATTGAAGGTTGGACCGGATAGGTACCCCTATATTGAAGGTTGGACCGGACAGGTACCCCTATATTGAAGGTTGGACCGGATAGGTACCCCTATATTGAAGGTTGGACCGGACAGGTACCCCTATATTGAAGGTTGGACCGGATAGGTACCCCTATATTGAAGGTTGGACCGGATGCCTTCAAAGATTAAATATCCCCTGTCAAGCAGTCAAAGACCACAACGAGAAAGATTTCATCTTATTCAAAACGAGTCTTTCAAAATCGGTCCAATATTTAGAATATTAGTCAGATTCTAAAATTGCAAACAAGATCATAACAGTGATATATAATAGGCGTCTCCTGTCATATTATAACAGCCAAATATACTACTTTTTCTGACTTCAAATCAGAACATATAAATATATTTATGTATATGACTGAAGATGGTTCAATTTATACATGTATCCTACATTCATGCATGATTATGATACTTTTTTAAAACCTATTTCAAAAATTCTTCAGAATAAATGTTAATTTGTTGTTGCTAAAGCCTAATTTTATGTGTCATTAATTTATATTTCTTCGGCATCCAATATATATTATATATCTAAGGGCTTTGAATTCGACTTTCGGACTTTCAATATTAATAAGCGTTGATCTACTGGCATTAAAAGAAAAAGGACTCGCATGTGTTAAATTTAATATCTTTGTTTTAGTTTTTAGTGCTAAACGTTTTATCGTATTGTAATCAGTAAAAATCTACATAAAATAGTCATATTTCATTCAATTTTTATTATTGGTTGTTTACATATTTTGTATTCGTAATGAATACAGTCACGCCCCAAGTGAGCTTAAGCGAGCCTGGCACGCGAGAAGACACGGAAAAAAAAAATGATTTTTCTACCTTAGCAATTAATAGAAACAGGAGTCATAAAAATTTTGCATTAATATTTTCCGTGACAACAAGGTGGTAGAAATGATAAATAGGTGTCGCATCTTTGATTTGGGCAGTGGTAGGTGGTCTAGAATGAGATGACATACATATAAACATAAACATGTAAAATGTACAACAAAAAAAACAAAGGAGTATGACAAAAAATGAACTACGAATGGTGGAATATTCTTTAATATTAAACAAACCTTGCGTTTAAAACGATTATCCATATGAAAAAGAAAATCAAAAAAAAAAAAAAAAAAAAAAAAAAAAAAAAAAAAAAAAAAAAAATAACCCAATGAAAAAATAGTTCCAAGTATAACAAAAACCAGGTGATTGTGAATTTTCAGCTTGTTTATTTTGACATGAGCAAATTTGTAAAAGCATAACAGAGATTTAAGAATAATTCTTTTATCACTTGTTACTTGTAAAGATAAATACTTCTTACCAAGAAGATATTTCACATGCATATCGACATGGAATGTAAGATGAGAGCAGACCTTACAATCGGATTGGTCATAGTTCTTTAAAATTTATAAATATAAAATCTGACAAAAAGTTTTTTGCCTTGGAAGTTGTCCATACTTTCAAGTGAAATGCCACAGATATTTTATTCTTAAGTTATCTTAACCTAAATTTTTGTATTTTGTCTTTCAAATATTGAAAGTATACCATATTTACTGAACTACTTTGAAAGTTAGACTTTCGTTCCTTATCGGAAATAACCTGACAAAAAGAACAATCGTGTACCACCAGCCACCGAATCAAAGAGCTCTTTATCTGTCAATCTTACAGACTTTAGTTCAGATGAGATTCTCAGTCTGGAGCAAAATTTACATACAGACTTCGCTCCTTGCATGTTGGCACGTTCAAAGAAGACTTAAAAGAGGACGGACAAACAGGGTTTTAAATTTTTTTTTTTTCATAAAATAAAAAGACGTAAAGATATAAAATACGTACAATTACTAGCAAATTAATCAAGTTTTTTTTAATTACATGTAAATAAAATATTAATATTAATAATAATTATTCTTAGTTAGGCATGTCAAGGAAACCGAAATACGTGTACACATGTTAGCTGTCCAATACTATAAACAAATATTAAAATATACACTTCCCAAGAAAAATCAATGTCTCTGAGTTTATTTCTTCAACACAAATGACATATGTGTGAAACAGGACAGGAATTTGGCCAAAGAAGCTACACCTGAAGAGTGTGGAATATTATCTATTGGGAGTTATCTCTCCTATCAGAGGGTCACTACACCTTTGTATTTCTTTAAAATTTATCTGTTGTTTTCTAATAGTACTTAATGGTTTAAGGAATTCTGAGCATTTTAAATTTTTATAATATGAAGAAAAAATATCTATTATAAACGATCAGTCTAATGAGAAGAAAAACAATTGTGTATATGGGGATGCAGTAATGCATATGGGGATGATGCTATACAGTATTTTCAACACGACAGATATAAATGGAAAAAAAATCCTAGAAGTTTTCGCTATATATATATATATATATATATATATATATATATATATATATATATATATATATATATATTTTTTTTTTTGCGATCAAGAGATTGTATTCAACAAAATATTTCGACACTTATATTGCTCCATTTTTGAAAAAAAAATTTTTGTAAAAAGTAAAATGTTTTTAAAAATACCAGAGAAATAACTTTTAAAAATATTCAACAAAATATTTCGACACTTATATTGCAGCTCGTATTGCTCATATTCGCATAAAAAAGGGTGAAATTCTTCTAAAACTTTGCAAAAAAAGGAAAGATTTCATTTTTGAGTAAAATAAAAAGTACAAATACTTTGAAGGCAGATAAATAAGCGAAATGTTCGATGACTTTTGAATATGTGGAACAGCGAAAGAATATATGAACACACGGTTAGTAATATTTTTTACAGTTTTAAAAACATGGAGAAATAAATCGCAGAACCGAGCGCACTTTTTTGAATAAATATACACAATTAGCGTTATTTTTTTCGGAGAGCTACAGATCTGCAGCTAGGAGGTCATATGAAAAATACGATCTGTATGTTTTCACTTTAAGAGATTTCATCGATTCAAAAGCATCAATTTTAATTCATTACTACACTTTCTTATTTAAGAAAAATACGGGGCCAGATTTGTATTGAAAACATACCTTGTTCTCAGTATTGTAACGAACAACCATTTTTTAAAACGGCTGTAAATAAGTCGTTAGCCATATTATTTTCTTAAAATTCGATATTCAAACAATATTTCATCATTGAGACAAAATATTACAATTGCATTACATAATAATATATATTACTCAAGTATATATTATGAATCATCGTACATCAATGTTTTCTAGCATAAATATTGACCAAGTTTGACGAAGTAAATCAGACCAATAGGATTGTGAAAATCTGTTTCCGCAGCCAAAACCTGTTGCCAACATTCAATATAGACAACAACTTTACTGTATAATTTATAAGATACAGAATAGGTTCCTTAATTTTCTTTAGACCTTTCAATTAATATCTTTAACTTTAAAGGATATAAAGCGATAAGGAGAGGAAGGAGATACAGAACCATGCTCCTATAAAAATTGTTTTTGGAGAGCAGGTGTAGGTTTTGTGTTTTGTTATGGATATACCATCTTCGGATTCGCATAATATGCAGGGATTTGGAACACCCGTATATTCAGAGGGGGCAAATTTTCATGGAATTGTTTACACAGGATACAACGAATTCCATCATACAGCAATTGACGCTAGTCGACAACCAGACGTAGTTTCACAATACCAGTACTTTGGATATCCATCATTACCGCAGAGTGAGCTTGAGAATGGAGCCTACTGGCCAGCTGGGGACATTGGTATCCATCCTGGGATACAAGCCTACCCTGTTGCCTACACCAGCCACTCTGACTCAGCACAAGGGATTGACTACAGCAATATGTCTACAGGGGGTCAGCAGGTCATCGGGAAAAACGGGAAGCCAAAACGAAAACGAGTCCAGTCTGTTGCCCAACGAAGAGCTGCTAATGTTCGCGAAAGACGGAGAATGTTTCATTTAAACGAGGCTTTTGACGAGTTGCGCAAACGTCTTCCTGCTTTTAACTATGAAAAAAGGTTATCGCGGATAGAAACACTTAGACTGGCTATGACGTATATTTCATTTATGAAGGGTGTTTCAGAAGGCCAGGACCCTCAAAAGATAAAATTAAGACCCTGTAAAACCGAGGAAAGCGAGGCGTATAATTCCATGCACAGAGAAGGAAGCAGTCCTTATTATGGTAACGAATCAATCGAGGACTGATACAGTATTTAGATGCGGGAATGTTTAAATTCAGTGTAAGAATCCCATGATAAAAATTTTGTCGGATGAAAATATATTTTAAGGATTCTACAGTGTGTTTTTTGCATGTTTTTTTATCAGGTGATGAGTTCAGTGAAATTTTATTAACTATTTTCTTGAAAATGTTGACAAACTCACCACGTACTTACATATCAATTCAAGTCAAAAGAACAGATAAAAAATTATACATATATGTATAAACATTTTAAAATGTGAGTGTTATACTTGATGATATTTTTCTCGACATTTTCTTGCACAATTTCATTCATGAATATATCATTGGTGTTTTTTTTTTTAAAAAAACATTGCTATAGAGCCAAAGGGAAGAAAGTGCTTTTATTTTTATTTACATTTGATTTTAAAAATCTCAACTAAATCACCCATGTCTTCCAGTTGTATGATACATTAATCTGTAGTTCAACATTTTAAATTAAAAATTAAAATAATTATGCATTTTTCATGTTTATTTATTTAAACATACCAAAAAATATATTTATCACTAATAGATCTACATATACACGGATTCTAAAGTTCTGAAAAAATTAAACATCGATTTCAAATTTTAAAAAAAATCAACTTTTATGTGATTGTCACACACTAATTATAGGTATATCATTTAGTTTTCTGATTCCCTTGTCTTTTAAAGGAATTACTTCATAAAATCTCACCTTTATAAATATAATTTATAAAATAAAATTTATTTATAAATATGAAAACATCATTTGGGCTTTATATTACTTTATCAACCAGTTAAACAAAACTGATTAACATGAAAGTGCAACAACATACAGTGTATTTGATGACGTATCCAAATTAAAATAAGATATTCAGTTCTGACAATTACGATTAAAGAGCAAGAGCCACTTAAATGTAGGGTCTCCTTTGGCCCTGTGAATTTCTGAAAATTGAACCGTGTTTCTATTGAACATGGTGTAATTTTCTCTCTATTTAATACATTACCATGTCATGAAATGCGTTTTTTTTTATTACGATATCCTGTAAATTTCGCTAAAATTAGCCAAAAGTTGAAGTATTTTTTTCAATAGATGGTTTTCCTATGATATATTTAACCTCGGAGTTATTCCCCTTCGCCGCCATCTTGTAGGGCAAAGCATTGAATTTTCCTCTTTGAGCAACCAATTTAAACAAGCATGCCAGAAATAGATGGGGGAAAATATTTACAATCTTAAAATTATGAATTAATAGAGGCTTTAACAAATGTATATTCATAAGAAACATAGTGTTATCTTTACCTCAGTAACCAGTATAACGAATTGAACTTGGTTGAATAATGAATGGATCTGGGAATGTTGCCCTACAATATGGCTGCCATGGGGAATAACTCTTCTTTAAATCACCTCAATGGAAAACCATCTATATTTCACATAGAACACAACAACTAATCCAAAATGTGCAATCACATAATAAAGAATATGTTTCCAAAGATCATAAAACATGTTTTAATTCTCGGATCGAATGTTGTGCTCATATTTCAATTCTTTGATGAAAGTAGTCTAAGATCCATGTTTTCCGTAAAATTCAAAAAACATTGCATTTTCACAAAGCCTGTTTTCCAATACCTGGATTCTAAAAAAGAATTTTTACAGGAAATAAGAGCTCTGTCTTTACTTTATTTTGACATATGAAATGGAACAGAGAGTGATAGCTTGTTACTCAGTATAGAGATATATATAATATATAGAATTAAAATCCCTTTATTTCAAAGCAAGTTATCTTTAACACATAAAATATAATGGGTTTGGTATAGGTGAACAATAACTTTTTTCACAGGAAAAAATAATTCGATTGCTTTTACAAGAAAATTACTCATTCGTATAATACAAATGTTTAGATTTGAAAATTTAAAAAAAATTAAAACGAGTGGGGCGGAAAATTATTGTTGAACAAATTACCTATTTTTAGCGCATTTGTGTTGTTCTTTTTTAAATCTCGAATCTGAATTAAAGGGAGTAGCTAAGGATCTCTCTGAATATCTTTGTAAGAATCCAACTTTGAAGTTAAAACATTAAGAACAAATGAACTTTTTTTACACAAAAGAATCTTTTTTTTTTTGCAATTTACGTGCATTTTATTTTTAGTCAATATTTATGTTCCGTAAAAGGAGAACATGTTGTTTTTACTCGGTTTCTAATATTACTGTGATTTTAACGTGAATGTAAATTTTAAATGCCGTTAATGTAAGGGGTTTCCAATAACATTCATTTTAACAATATAATGTCATATAGTGTAATATAATGAAGTTGATAAAATTTTAGAACTAAATGACATTTTATACCTATTCTTAAGTTCTTTTGAAAACAGAGTCAATATATTTTACTTACTAGATATATGAAAATAATCACCAGAAAGAGGAAACTTTTCTTGAATTCATTGATATTTGAATGCTTCATAAGAGGCAAACATTTATCCGATTCACAGCACCGGTTTTAAAAATATCATTGTATCTTAATATTTTTTTTAATGGAAAGAAGATAAATAAATGTTTTATATAGTTTTGTAATTTGACCAAAATGACTACAAAGATCATGCCAAAAAAAAACAATTTTAAATCACTGGGATATCTATGATAGCCTTAATTTATTTTAATAATAAGCTAAACGTTTTTTAAACATAAAGAAAAATTACGTTGAAAAAGATACCTGGGATAAATTTTAATCAAGGAGAAAAGAATTTCTTTCTTTCCTGCATTTTTATATATTGTACCAATCTTAGCAAACAGTTAGAGGGTCTTAAGAATATTCGATAGTCTTTTTCATGAATGACTAAGGAGTTAGGACACTTAGTTTTTTTTTCCTTAATTATCATCATTCAGACTGTTTAACTACTTTTAAAACTATCAAAATGAAATTCATCATTTTCTCGTGTTTTCATACTTTTCTAAAATTAATATTAATCTATCCAAGTTGATATGTATATATACTGCTAGATAAAAACGGTAAAATATGAAATATTATATTTTCAAGGTACAATTACTTTGCAATTGATTTTATTCAAAACGTTTTCCTTCTTCAATAGTGAGTCTAGGTAACATTTGGTGGAATATTGATTGAAGTATTTCAGCGGTGTAACATATTGTGATGTATTTATCACTCCTATTTCAGAGTCAGACAAGAAATTTATGACCTGTTTTCGACGTATAGAAATAATCCCGAACAAACTTTCATTAGTTTAATCATTGCATGTTTTAATTAAGGATGACAAAAAAACTTACAAATCTTTCTAATGATAAAACATTGTTAATAATTTTTTTGGAAAAAGTAAAGTCTACTCACTAAAACTCTACTTACTAAACTAGTGCAATAAGGTATACTTGTCTCAGTAAAAGAATGCATAATATATTTTAGAAAAGAAAAAAAACGTGGACGCTTTAATATTTTCTACAATAGTTTATAAAGTGCCATCAGGATAATTCAAATGTTCAAGACGCTGATAATTCAGCAGAAGCTTAAACATTTTATTAAAAAAAAAAGAAACTAAAATTTAATTTGTAAATCATCTGCCACATAACAAATACGCAGCAAATTAAATGCATTCAAAAAATTGGACCTACTTTCATACACAATGGGGTCCAATTCTACAAATCGGCGTTGGCTAGATTTTTTTAAATCTAAAATGTGTTATTTTCCAATTTAGTTTAGTGAAAAAATCTAAACAGTAGGGTTTATTTATGCAAAATTTATATTAATGCAAGAGATATGCAAATTATTAAAGTGTGATAAAAATGTTAAATATTTAATGTTCTCCTTGACAATATCTTCAAAACTGCACGCTTTAAAACATTTTAAGTAAAAAAGAGTAATATCTCTAAGAGAATCAAATTGTAGCTTAATTGATATGCCCAAACGGTCTAGGATTTTATCTGAAGGAATCTTAATTTGTTAAGTTCAAATCACGATGTCACTAGAGCTATGAAAATACAGGTAAAGTTCAACTGCACATGCACTATCTAATGAATAATTATGACTAGGGACAGATAAAATTACTAACATACTATCCATGCTTCAATAACAGACGATGTTTTTTTCAGCTTTTAACTTTATCACCTAGGAGGCATTAACATCCGAGCTATCAATCAATTTTGTTTTAATCAGGCAGTAATTATTCAAACTTTGATTATCAAGCTGTTTTTGACATGCTTAAAATGTAAATTTTGAATTTAACCAAATTTAAAAATTACTGTATTTTTTCTCAATTAAAACTGAAGCTAAATTTAATTGAAGATTATGCTATCTGTAACAGTTGGGATGGTATTGAGCTGTTTCCGTCCAAACTCCCAGATGGTGCAACGGTACATCTCAGGACAAGGAAAATTAAATTGTAACACGTGTTCATAACGGCTCTCTCTCTATCTCTCTCCATACCTCTGTGAGTTTCAATAACATTATATATGTGCACATTACCGAGTATGTATATTGATTTTTAGTAATTTGCAAAAGCTGATATAAATTACCAAATCAATTCCTTATTTTAATTAACTTTATGTCTGTATAATTTTGGGGACTATATTCACTGGATTAGAAATAATTTCTGGTTTCTTCTAAACAAATTACACATTGCATAAAGCAAATGAAAAAATATAGAAAATTCCAATACAGTAATAAACAACCTTAAGTGATTTTTTAAAGTGACATGTGTAAGCACCATTCGGAACCTTGTACCTTTTAGTAGATCGATAAGCAGTATACTTGTCACACTAGATATAGCATTCACACATAAAAAATCAATTGATAACTATAAGTGAGACACATTTTAACTTTCAATTTCCAAGATAATTAACACTGTTCATTGTTTAATTTGTTTATAAGTTGACTACTGAACAATCGTACACAGCATTGTAACTTGGCCATATTGCTTTTCTCCATTTTTTTTTTAAAAAATTTGATTTAATTTTTCCTTCAATTTCAGTTGGTATTAAATGGGTCTCTTCCGTTAGCTACATGAAAGTATTATCTGACCTGAAAATGTGCAAGTTTGCTGATTGAATGAATATTTCTGAAATTATCTTTAAAAAGTAATTCATCTTGGTTGGATTTATTAAAGATATAATCTGCACAAAGATAGTGCAGCAATTTAAAAAGAATGTTAAACAAGTTTAAAAAGCTGTAGATTCTACTCATATTTATTTATTTTCCATCTGGTTCAGCAATGTTTGTTTAGCTTATGCTTAAGAATCTTCAAAAAATTTCATAACAATAGGTAAAGGAAGGAGGAGGCATAAATACACCAATAATATTCCCCACTAAAATGTTTATATCTACATGTACATTTAAAATTTCATAATACCAACATTTATAGGTTATCACAGAAATTGAAATTTCTTATCAAGAGACCTTTTCATATCTTTAATATGTAAGTAAACAATCATACAGAATTTACAGAACTTTATGAAAATCAAACCTAACATAAAACTTTCCTGTGTGAAAGTCTAGATCTGCTCATTTTCTTCCATATCAATATCAGCAGTCATCACTATGTGATTACTTTGTGGAGGGACCGTTTACGTGAGGACTCCATTAGGTGGCGTCTTGGGGGACTCTGAAGACCCAGTTGTATCCGTGGAGGGGTGTGGGGGTCCACCACGTCCCATACATGAGGATTCTTAACATTAATTTTCAGCAGTTCTGCAGCCTCAACATGACCTAATAGTAATATATAACAGTGTGTAGTGTGTACGATATTGGTCTAAATTTATTTATATTATACAGATGTAATCAAATATATTTTTGAAATATCCCTGCTGCGATAACTGCTCTTTACTGGTATAAAATAAAAACCATATGAAAATTTTACTTTCTGTTACAATATAATAAAGGGATTTTTTTAAAAAAAAAAAAGGGGGGTATAAAATCTGTTCTGCACCTCCTACCTGCTGTAATGGCACTGTCAATAGGATAGATTCCAGATTTACTGCATAGGTAAGGATCCGCACCTGAATATTGTAATAATGTCAATTAATGTTTAATCTTTTATCATTCTAACTGTATTCTTCAAATATACTTTATAAAAATAGTTATTTTATAAAGCATACCATGTTTGAGGAGAGTTTTGATGACCGGTATATTTCCTTTGCTGGCCGCGCGATGTAAAGGGGTGTAACCCTTCTGGTTTTGTTTATTCACATCACATCCTGAGCATACCCGAAATTAATTAAAGAAATCAAATGTAAATAAAATGTTGTTCCAATTAAATAAATTAAATACAATAAAACAAGAAATAAAAAGAACTTTTTAAAATTATTTATCATGCGCTGATTTAACTTTAAGATCAGTCCTGTAAGACTTTTACAAATTAAAAAATATATTTTTCCAAATAATGTAATAATTATACCATAAATTATCTCGCTTTTACTATATTTTTTCTTCAACTATAATATTATTAACCTTAATTTATTAACAACTTAGAAAAAGAGTTAAATTTGAGGTGTGGTACTGGGTTGACGTCCCAAATTTTCCGAGTACTTATTTCATGGGATAGTATTGAAATGCATACTGCACCTGACTGTATCAGATCAGAAAGGATTTCTAGTTCCTTTTGGGGGGAGTTAAGGACACCGTAAGTAGCTAAATATAGCGAGGTGTCCCCAGAGGAGGTGGTCACGTTGACATTGGCTCCTAAAATAAAAACTTTTAATGGTCATAATATGCATTATAAATAGCACATGTAGCAATTTACTTGAATTATATACTACAGATATTTATATTTTTTAATGAAATTACTACATGGAATATTTAATGGAAATTTTTCAACATCTTTGACACTAAAATTTACCTCTTTCCAGCATGTACAAAATTAAATTTCTTCTCCCACTAAGACATGCGCACTGTAACGAAAACGCCATAAGAATCACATTTTATAAAGTGATATTTTAGAATTTAAACCCGTATTATACAGACGGGACAAATAAAGAACATGTAGCACTAATCACTGACCAGAAATAGTGAGAGTCCGTTAGTCGGCATAACGTAGTTGACGTCATATCCGTACTGTTCCACCAATTTAACAACAGCTTCTGTATGACCTGGTTCATACGCAGTCTGTTGAGGAAAAAAATCGCTCTTGTACATGTATATATTCTAAATTAAAATTACATATAGTTGTTGAAAAGGCCATCCTTTGTTTATTATAATTTTCCAAACAAAATAAGTACGGCTGTTACTTTCTGTCAGTCTCAAAAGATTTTTGTTTGTGATTTAAAAATCAGACTGAAAGCAGGGATTTTTATGGTCCGCAGAGGGATGAAATAAACCCCCCCCCCCCCTACCCACCCTCCCCGGCGAAATTAAAATTATTTTTATAGTTTTATTTTTTTCTAAAAGATAAAAATAAATCAATGCAGTGAAGTGTACTGTCTATAAATCTGATATTATAAATATCCAAGAATCCGCCTTTTACCCCAAAATTGTTAAACAAAATAACCTATTTATTTTGGTCTTTGTTATACCCCCCGCTTGAAAAGCGGGAGGGTATATAGTAATCGTTAATTCCGTCCGTCCGTCCGTCTGTACGTCCGTCCGTCCGTCCGTCTGTCTGTCCGTCCGTCCGTCTGTTACGCTTTGGGGTACCCATCTCTTATCCGTAATTCCTCTCATACCACTGAATGAAATTTGATGAAACTTTCAAAGAATCTTTATTACATATTGCCATTGTGCACCTCCTATTTTACTTTTTGATCCGACACATATTTTGTTTATGGGAAGCGGGGGGTATTTATTTAGTGAGCTCATCGCTCACAGTACCTTTAGTTTATTTAAATGAGATGAGCCTTTAACAGACTGTTGTTTGTTTTTGAGGCCACTTCTGAGAAAATTTCACTCATACTTTGAGACCCAAATACTTGCCGGTGAAGGACTGCAAATTTAGACCAACACTCGGAATTAAAGGCATTTGAGCATATTGAGATCATTTTCAAGCCAGCACCTACTGCGCATGAGGCAGAAGAGGGACTTCGTTTTATACGTCTCATTGAAGGACCGGTCTTCACGTCTCCGCGATATTTTAGAATTTCAAGAAGAAGAAAAATTATTTGGTTGGAACATCAAGGCCTTGAGATCATGATCTAAAAATAAATCTTGGGCGGACAAAAGAATTTTCAGAAGCAATCTTTTCAAAAGAAAATCGTTTTTTAGTTCAGTGCTTTAAAGTCAAATCTGAGTCACTAATTAACAGAACTAAAATTAATCGAAATAAGAATGAAAAATTGAATTGTTTAAAATGAAACTGAATTTTCTTAGACATCGCCACTAAATGCTAGTAATAGCATTATGTCTTATTTGTTTTAGATTCACAATATCAAGGAAAACAATTGAATTCTGCATGGAAATTGTAATGACTTAATGGACTTTCTTGGATGTTGCACTAACAGATCTTGTGCCATTATAGAAACCATTCTTTTACATAACGCATTCTGTCTTCAAAACACCTTTAAAAATGCTGTGCGAGCATCGTCTCAAGCCATGTTCCGGAGTCCGCTCATCTTTCTCCTTCCCGGCCAGAGTGGGAGAGGATCATACATTTTGCCTTTGTTTATTTATGAGGATGCTTTGCGAGGTACACTGGGCATTGTGCTTTTTATTATCATTCATACTTTTCTTGTGCAAATTGGCGACAGTGACTACATGCCTTGCTACTGTATTTAATTTAATATATAATTATTGATGTGTCATATTATTTATGTATTTTATTTTATTGTATTTTGATGTGTCATATAATATAGACTTTTTTTTTAACATTTCGTACCATTAAAAGTGTATACATGAAATCTTCGCCCCTTTTTATTTACGTCCTTTTCGCCGTACTTAAGCTTGTGACTAAGCAAAATTTAAATAAAGGGCAAAATTATTAGCAAGTATTAACATGATTAAAGGGAGAAAAATAACATGGGGCGAAAATAACCAGGCATTCAGTAAATAAATTCAGATTTCAATTCTTATTTAACAAAAAAATAAAAACAATGCAATTCTGGACATTCCGTTTAACAAATACCTTCGCTAAATCGAACACACTCCAATCATACATCGAGTTTGAGCCAGCGGGAGGGAAAAGGTGATCACGACGATATTTTGACACTGTCGGAGAAAAACAGGTAAATTATTATCTTTTACGTTTATTAAAAATAAGATCATGAATAATAAGTATTATAACTTAATCATAATTAAATTTTAAGTAAAGATTATGAAAATAATACTAAAAAAGTATACAAAAATCATTTTATAAATGATTTAAGCATTTTTTGTACATTTCTTACAAATCCAAGTTCCCATTACCTTTCACGCATGTGAACCAACAAGTCAGTAATGATACTGTGCAAAATATCAGGATGAGTTGCGTTTCCAGTTGTAAAGTAGGCAGGGATTGTAAAACATGATCCAAACTTTTGGTTCCCAGCTCCATAGCTCCATTAAGTGCTTCACTCCCGACTTCGTGGATAACCAATGCATAATGGACAGCTAGAGAGAAAATGTATTGCTTGTCCAAAATCAGTGTTGTCCAATCAGATTCTGAATATAAATTTATCAAAATCACACCAACAAAAATTAGGCCTACAACTACATTATCAAGTAGGCAAGTAGATATTTTTTTTCAGATGAAACATTTTTTCAAATGAAGAGGGGAGGGGGGGGGGTTAGTCCGAAACATATGACGTTTTCTAAGCTTTAAAAAAAAAAAAATTTTGATATTACGTGCCAGGAAAACGTAAAATATCAAACTCGTGAAAAAGTCTGGAAAACGTCAGATATTTCGTCAGATATTTCGCACTGGGGTGGGAGGGTGGGGGGTTAATGACCATCAGCATCTTTTTGATAGGTGACCTAAACCTAGAATGTAACTGATATATATAAAACAGCAAGTGTTGCGACTCCTGGGGGATGAGGGAATTTGGACTTTTGCACATTGATCCAAATATCAACCCCCTTAATTTCTTCCATCGGGAAAGATTATAAATATGAATCCCACCAGCCATCTTCGCTCACTTTTTGAAGCTCTCGACCGCATCTATTTCAGGAAGCTATCTGCAGATTTCAGGAAGAAGATAAATTATTTAGAAATATTAATTACCGTCCTGGTACCCCCTCCCCCTTCTTTAATTACTTCTTCGCCATGTTCAGTTGTGGTGTATGATTTGATACCTGTAACTGCCAGGTTCTTTGATGGATTTCATATTTGTTTCTCACGTATTTTCATTTAATGGATGAAAATACCAACTCCTGTGTCCTTTCTTAAAACATGGTCACTGTGGTTATTCATAAATTTTAGTCATTTCAGATACGCGAGTAACAAAAAATAAGAGTAGAAAATACATTAAATATTAGCCTACCTGTTGAATTTTCCATGTCCTTGTGACAGCAGACGAATCTCAATGTTTTGAAAATGACGTCATCGATCTTATTGAGGAGGAGAATCCTGCATATTTCCGGAATAGATACCCGCGGTGAGCCTCCCGTGGTTGCAAAAACATTTTTACAGTTTTGATTGAAACCAAGCTATTTTTCTTCATTTTTGCATTTTGAATTAAAGGGAGAGAGAGGTGTGGAGGGGGAATGAGGCTTTATAACCTTTTCCGGAACAATAAAAAATACCAGGTTGGTTTTTATTTTTGGTGTCCCCTAGTTTATATCCTGTGTTGAGAAAAAACCACCTGATTTCATGAGACTGAAGTCCACGGTGTGTTATTTGTATCGACAGCATTTTTATGTGACGAAATTAGCTGCTGGAATATCAAAAAGTAGGTAAAACAGTTATTATGTAAATACATGTATATGGGGTTTGTTCTTTTACAGCAGTTTGATTTGGGGAGTACATCAAGGAAAACTTGTTTATGCAATTATGGTGTTGCTACATGTACATGTAACAGAGAATTAGTGTATGAAATATAGACAATAGACATCTGTTGCTTGTGTTTATGAATATACCTTTACTTATAATTCCATTATTTACATGTATCTTGAAATTTATTTGCAGTCTTTCACTATAAGGTAAGAAAAGCAACACTGGGTTGCTAATGGTCACTTTACAAGTGAGTTTAATACCATTAAGCTTCAATTGTTTGTTTTTATTTTCAGAACCATTTCCCATATCTAGAACAATGTCCACAAAACCTCGTGAGTTGTATCCTGAAATAGAACCATTTGCTAAAGAGCATCTAAAGGTCTCAGATATACATAATATTTATGTAGAGCAATGTGGATCAAAGTCTGGAAAACCTGTGATATTTGTGTAAGTATGTCCATAGGTATACAGAGACAATTTAGCAGAGAAAACATGTTCAAATTTTATAAATGTAGTATTAAAAAACATAAAAAATAACTAATAATCTACAAAGCTCAAGGCTATGAAATACAAGTGTAATATATGATTTAAACATAAATGTACACTATGTATGTCTATGACAATATCTTTTAAAAAAATAAGTACATTTTATGTAAAGTTTATATTTTGAACCTTTCTTAGAAATGAACATCAATAGGGCCATTTTGTGTATTAAGTGAAATAGCTCTTGTACATGTACATGTTTATATTGATATTTTTCATCTTTTAATATATTTTAATAATTAGCTTTCTATTTATTAACTTTAAATTTGACTAGACATGGAGGACCAGGAGGGGGGATAAGTCCACGTGACAGAAGATTTTTTGACCCCGATGTGTACAGAGTTATCTTGTTTGACCAGAGAGGAAGTGGGAAAAGCACCCCATCTGCAGAACTCAAGGTTTGTTATAATTAAATAAAACAGTCCGCAACATCACAACAATTATCCTGATCAAATAGTTGTCAACAGATGAGAAAAAAAAAATTTTTCAATGAGGAGTGTGACTGTTCATAAGACACCTTCAACTGAAAGGAAAACAACTCCATTATGCACATTTAATACAACACAGGAATGTAATTTTGGTGTAAGAATGGTAACTCTTGCACAAATATGATCTTTAAAACAAATAAAACATTTAGGAAATGTCCATCACTGTCCAGCATTCTAATTTTTTTCTCAAGCTGATGGATTAATTAATATTCCTAATTATCATTTTGGGCAGCCAAGTTTCACATTTGAATGAGTTTAAGTCACAGGCCTTTAGATCGCTTAGAAAAAAATTTTAGGTGTTAAAAAAATTTAAAGGTATGGAACTCTTTTCATAGGGTACCTACTTTCTCCAATGAAGTTTCTTTTAAATCAAATGCTTTACAATTTTACTTTTTATCCATATCTATTCATATATAAACAATCTTCATTACTACCAAAGTTCATTGCGTAATTCCTTATACTTCTCGAGATATTCTGAAATCAATTCCAAAATTGACCTTAATTTTTTACTCAACATCAGCTTGGGCCTTTGAAGAGCTACACTAACTGTTGTAATTGGGAACGATGGGAAAAATTTCCCTCGGAATTTATTCTATGCTCAATGAATATTTGCTCACTTGCATTCGAGCTTTACAAGATTTTCTCTAATTTAATCATAATTATGATTATACTAAGTCATCAACAACATTTTAGTGGTCTAATTGTTTTTAAAATTGAAAGGTGTATTATACATTCCAACAAAAAATTTGTTCAACCATAGCTTCTTTTACATTCACAATTAACATGGCGGTGCAGTTGTTGATGTAGACGTTTTCAAATTAATTTTTCACGAAGGGGATTATTACAGACTTAACCTTACAAACTGGAGTAAGAAATCAACTTTAAAACGTTGAAAGATTTGCAAATACCATGCAACTCTTCACTGCACTTCAAACACCATTTGTTTACATGTGAATGACCATAGGCCCAAGCTAATGTATGCCATTTTTAGCTCTACTGGTCAGAGACAAGAAGAGCTTATGCGATAGTAATGCGTCCGGCGTCCGTCCGTCTGTCTAGCTGTCTGTCTGTCTGTCTGTAAACAATTTTTCAAAACGCTACTCCTGATACAATTTTAGTCTGATTTCAGTATTACTTGGAACACAAGTAGACTACACTAAGATACATAGAATAGTGCATCGGTTTTTAATTTCGATGAACGGTGTTGCCATGGTGACTTAAAATAGAATTTTCTGTGAAATTCCTTAAAAACGCTACTCCTTCTACAGTTTTGGTCTGATTTCAATATAACTTGGCATATAAGTAGACTACAGTAAGATACATAGAATAGTGCATCGGTTTTTGATTTCGATGAACGGTGTTGCCATGGTTACTAAAAATAGAATTTTCTGTGAAATTCCTTTAAAACACTACTCCTTCTACAGTTTTGGTCTGATTTCAATATAACTTGGCACACAAGTAGACTACACTAAGATACATAAAATAGTGCATCGGTTTTTGATTTCGATGAACGGTGATGCCATGGTTACTAAAAATAGAATTTTCTGTGGAATTTTAAAAACGCATTTGATTCTAAAGTTTTGGTTGATTACAATATAACTTGGCACACAAGTAGACTACACTAAGATACAAAGAATAGTGCATCGGTTTTTGATTTCGGTGAACACACACTAAAAATTTTTCTGAGAAATTCCTTTAAAACGCTACTCCTTCTACAGTTTTGGTCTGATTTCAAAATAACTTGGCACACAAGTAAACTACACTAAGATACATAGAATAGTGCATCGGTTTTTGATTTCGATGAAAGGTGTTGCCATGGTTACTAAAAATAGAATTTTCTGTGAAATTCTTTTAAAACGCTACTCCTTCCACAGTTTTAGTTTGATTTCAAAATAAGTTGGCACACAAGTAGACTACACAAAGATACATAAAATAGTGCAATGGTTTGTGATAAGTACAAACCAGTAGAGCTACAGTCTCGACAGAGACTTCTGGTTGAAATTGATTTCAGAATATCTGGAGAAGTATATGGAATTTCGGAATGAGCTTTGACAGAAATGAAGATTGTTTATCTATAAATAGATTTTAATAGAAATTAAAATTTTAGAGCATTTGATTAAAAAATATTTTGTTAGTAAAATTGGGTACCCAGTAAAAGAGTTCTGTACCTTTATCTTTTTTTTTACACACACAATTTTTTTAAGCGATCCAAAGGCCTGTGGTTTAAGTTTGCATTCACTTACCAATGCAAAGGGAAAATTATTGTTTATCCACAATTTAAGAACCACATGTAGGTGGATATATGTATATACAAGTGACTTAAGGAAATTTGTTTATAAGCATACATATGTAGCTGGCATTTAGTATCAGGAAGCCCCCCCCTTTATTTTCACGACATAACCTTTGCTATTTAAATGTTCATTGAAAGCAGCCCCCCTCCCTTCCAAGTTTTTTAGCTCTACTGGTCAGAGACCAGAAGAGCTTATGCGATAGTTGCGTGGCGTCCGTCCGTCTGTCTGTCTGTCTGTGTCTGTAAACAATTTTTCAAAACGCTACTCCTCCTACAATTTTAGTCTGATTTCAATAATACTTGGCACACAAGTAGACTACACTAAGATACATAGAATAGTGCATCGGTTTTTAATTTCGATGAACGGTGTTGCCATGGTGACTAAAAATAGAATTTTCTGTGAAATTCCTTAAAAACGCTACTCCTTCTACAGTTTTGGTCTGATTTCAATATAACTTGGCATATAAGTAGACTACAGTAAGATACATAGAATAGTGCATCGGTTTTTGATTTCGGTGAACGGTGTTGCCATGGTTACTAAAAATAGAATTTTCTGTGAAATTCATTTAAAACACTACTCCTTCTACAGTTTTGCATTTCAATATAACTTGGCACACAAGTAGACTACACTAAGATACATAGAATAGTGCATCGGTTTTTAATTTCAATGAACGGTGTTGCCATGGTTACTAAAAATAGAATTTTCTGTGAAATTCCTTTAAAACGCTACTCCTTCTACAGTTTTGGTCCGATTTCAGTATAACTTGGCACACAAGAAGACTACACTAAGATACATAGAATAGTGCATCGGTTTTTAATTTCGATGAACGGTTTTACCATGGTTACTAAAAATAGAATTTTCTGTGAAATTCCTTAAAAATGCTACTGCTTCTACAGTTTTGGTCTGATTTCAATATAACTTGGCACACAAGTAGACTACACTAAGATACATAGAATAGTGCATCGGTTTTTGATTTTGATGAACAGTGTTACCATGGTTACTAAAAATAGAATTTTCTGTGAAATTCCTTTAAAACGCTACTCCTTCTACAGTTTTAGTTTGATTTCAAAATAAGTTGGCACACAAGTTAACTACACAAAGATACATAAAATAGTGCAATGGTTTTTGATAAGTACAAACCAGTAGAGCTACTGTCTCGACAGAGACTTCTGGTGTTTATCAGTATAGTTAACATGATGTTAATTGTTAATTTATCCCAAGGTATAAAAAGAAAAATATTAATTGTGTAAAAGAAATTTGGAACCTCCCCTCTCTCCAAAAGAGAGATCCTACGTTCCTGCAAAGGTAACTTTTGTTTATCATTTAATGCTGACTTATGCATTACAATTTCAGGAGAACACCACCTGGGATTCGGTGGCAGACATGGAGAAGATCAGACAGCACTATAACATTGATAAGTGGGTGGTGTTCGGGGGAAGCTGGGGTTCCACCCTCTCCCTGGCATATGCCGAGACACACCCTGACAGAGTTAAGGCCCTTGTTTTAAGGGGGATATTTACTCTCAGAAGGTAATTTTTTAATTGTTTAAAATGTAATATGAAAGGTTAAGCATTTTTACTTGTAGAAGGTAATTTTTTTTAAAAATTCTAAAGGTAAATAGTGTAATGATTTTTACGCAGAAATGATGAATATATTTTATTTTATCCCATGTTCAACCCTTTATCCCGTTGATATAGCTCATGTGATATCGTTTTCGTATCACACAGTTGTGACGTCACAATGGGTTTTTCGTTAGAATGATGAAGGAAAATGAAGTTGAGTCCTATATAAAACAGTGTTAAACATTATTTGCGGTGTAAAAAACATGGGATAAAAAGAATCTCACATGATTTGTAGTTAGATATGATTTTTATCCAACTCGTTGTGTGTTTTTATCCCCTCGCCAAGTCTCGGGGATAAAAACCACACAACTCGTTGGATAAAAATCATATCCAACTACAAATCATGTGAGATCCTATATGTATTGAATTGAAAACTCTTACATTGGCATATTTAACTTTGTACACAATTTCGGCATTTTTATTACATATATTTATTGTAACAGACGTGAGCTGCTTTGGTTCTACCAAGATGGCGCTAGTCTAATTTTTCCAGATAAATGGGAGGATTACATCAAGCCTATTCCTGAGGTAGGACTCTTTCATGATAAAAATAAATGAAAAGGCAAAATGTATTCAGTGAAATATCATCGAAAGTTAGGCTGTTTTTAAATAAATCATTTATTTCTCCATAGTATGGTACACTTTGATTAACTAGTTTGATCATATTGATGGTTCTCATGAAGCATTTTCATTGTTAAGAATTTGATATTGTTTGTAAAACTCCCAATTTTAACTGATCGCAGGAATTGTATTATTAAATTCATGAGTTTATAAATCAAACTTTTGATGTAATCCATTCAACTGTTTTTTCTTTTTTTTTTTTTGTTGTAGTTTTTTTTTTTTTTTGAGCTTTGTATAGAATAGTTCTAATTCAATTGCAAAACTTTTTATAAACCAAATTAAAGCAATTTATATTTGGTTTACTAACTATGTAGATAGTGGTTTTCTCACTATGTAGTTAATTGTTTTCTTACATTTAGTATGTTAAGTAATAGACTTAATACATGTATTTAAGTTGTAACGTTTTTCTACTCTGTGATTTTGCTAACTGCTTAGACAGTGGTATACTTACTACATATTTAATATATATGTAAAGGGTTTTTAAGAAAGTTCATCCACATTTTTATTTATTTTCAAAAAGAAATACGATGAGAAGATATTAACAATTTGTGATACATGTATTTCATGTTCACAGAGTCTATTCTTGCTACTGATAAGGTTTAAACTGTCTTTTGTTGAAACTATAAGGGGAGGGCAGGTATTAAAATAGATGATGTCTGTGCAGAAAAATCAGGGATACAGCATATTTGTGACATAAATTAAGCATACAGGTCAAAAAATCCTTAAATGTTATGCAAAATTTATCAAGTTCATGAAGAATTTCAAAAAGACAAAGGTATTCTTTTGAAAAGTGATTGATCTTTCTTATGCCTTAACTCATCAGTTTTCTATGATGCAAGATAAGCTGTTCAGAAGCAAAAGTTAATAATGCTATATTTTCACACAAAATGACCAGCATTTCAGTCATTTGGGTGCTTTAAAGATGTTTATTTATATTTTCATATGGAAGAATTAACCCTATAGCTTTCTGCTTTCGTGTGATTTTGTCAGACTTGAAAATTCATCTCTTTAGTTAAACACTACTTTGAAATTTTTGAAAATATTTCATTATGGAACGAACTTTCTTAACACCCCTTAGGTAGTTGTTTACTTAGTACATGTGGTTTACTAACTTAATTAATAATTGCTAACTTACTACATTTGTATGTGGATAGTTGTTTACTTACTATTTAGGTAGAGAGGGGGGACATAATGAGTGCCTACTACAGAAGATTGACCAGTGAGGACGAGAAAACTCGCGTTGAGGCAGCTAAAGCCTGGAGTGGCTGGGAAATGGCCACATCCAGATTGTTAATCGATGAGGAGATGTTGAAGAAAGTAGAAAGTGATGTGTGGTCATTACAGTTTGCCAGAATTGAATGGTATGCTCATTTCTCCATGCCACCTGATCCCACCTCTGATGTTTTGGAGGTCCATTTTAGCTCTTCTCCTATTTTGTATTGTTTTATGGACTTTGAATTTGAATACTGTTTGTTATCTCTATATCCTTCATGTCATTGATAAAGGGAGACAACTGTTTTATTATGTTACTATAGGCATTGGAACTGGGGGAGGGGAGAGGGGAGGGCATAGCCCCTCAACGCTTCTTTTTACAAAGCTAGACATTATATAGGCATTGAAAATTGGGGCTTAGTTATTTTTGTTGGATTAGCTCCCCCACACAGCTCTTTCAGTACCTCCTTTTTCCACTAAGGAAGAGTTAAAGTTTTTTAATAGTGTGCTCTTTTTTAAAAAAGTCAAAAAATATACAAATCTCGCGGGATTTCTGGGATAAACGTAACATAAACATGTAAACCATATGTTGGATGTCGGTGAACAAATCCTAACAAAAATCAAATGAATCATTTTATTGATGTGGACTTTATATGCATCAAGAGCAGAAATGACATTGATATCAATTTTTATCTATTGTTTATCATATGTATCTGTTTATCATCTAATTACAATGCACATGCCTCGAAAATGTCGTATTTTTATTAATGGATGATGAATTTAGGGTTCTCGCTCTCTTCGCAGTATAGTTAAGGTTACAAATGGAAATATCAGTGATTTTTAAAGATAAAATATACATACAGTGGACCTTCAGATATCCGGACGCTTCAGTATCCGGAAGATTTTTCATCAGAACAGAATTTTTTAATGTTATTTTGTCTTGTTTAACTGGTAATTCAGATATCTGGATCCTTCAACTATCCTGACAAATTGACTGGGAACCAAAGCGTCCGGATAAACGAGGTTCCACTGTACTTTATAAGGATGGGCTATTCTTTTTAGGAGTTCACTGATATCAAAAAAATGTAATGTGGTTCAAATCTACACGTTTAGGGCATTTAGATTTTTTTAGCTCACCTGAGCCGAAGGCTCAAGTGAGCTTTTCTGATCACATTTTGTCCGGCGTCCGTCTGTCCGTCTAGCTGTCCGTCTGTCTGTAAACTTTTCACATTTTCGACTTCTTCTCAAGAACCGCTGGGCCAATTTCAACTAAACTTGCCACAAAGTATCCTTGGGTGAAGGGGATTCAAGTTTGTTCAAATGAAGGGCCACGCCCCCGTTCAAGGGGAGATAATTGGGAATTAATGAAAATTTGGTAGCATGTTTTAAAGAACTTCTTCTCAAGAACCACTGTGCCAGGAAAGATGAAACTTATGGGGAAACATCCTCAGGTAGTGTAGATTCAAGTTTTCAAATAGCAAAACCATGATTGATCATATTTATATGGAAGAATGCTCAGGTAGTGTAGATTCAAATTTCTTCAAATCATGACCCCCAGGGGTAGGGTGGGGCCAAAATGGCTGACCAAAGTTTTACATAGAAATATATAGGAAAATTCTTTAAAAATCTTCTCTTCAAGAATAGCAAAGCCATAATTCATCATATTTATATGGAAGCATGCTCAGGTAGTGTAGATTCAAGTTTGTTCAAATCATGACCCCCGGGGGTAGGGCGGGGCCAAAATGGCCGACCAAAGTTTTACATAGAAATATATAGGAAAATTCTTTAAAAATCTTCTTCTCAAGAATAGCAAAGCCATAATTGATCATATTTATATGGAAGCATCCTCAGGTAGTGTAGATTCAAGTTTGTTCAAATCATGACCCCCAGGAGTAGGGAGGGGCCAAAATGGCCAATCAAAGTTTTACAAAGAAATATATAGAAAAATTCTTTTAAAATCTTCTCCTCAAGAATAACAAATCCATAATTGATCATATTTATATGGAAGCATCCTCAGGTAGTGTAGATTCAAGTTTGTTCAAATCATGACCCCCAGGGGTAGGGCGGGGCCAAAATGACCGACCAAAGTTTTACATAGAAATGTATAGGAAAATTCTTTAAAAATCTTCTTCTCAAGAATAGCAAAGCTATGATTGGTCATGGGACTACTTTTGGATTTAAGCTTTTCGAGTATAAACCAATTCTGCTTTTTCCTAGCCACAGTGCTGAGGTGAGCGATGTGGCCCATGGGCCTCTTGTTTATTTAGACTTGTCACTTGATGTCGGAGTCACATGATTGTAGCATTTATACTTGCAGTTTAGAGGTCTTCTATAAATTCCAAGTAAAAATCTAAGTTTAATTTATAATTCTTTTAAACACTATATCGAGTTTGTGAAAAGTGCTGCAAACCTCTATAGAATCCCTTATTTAACTGCTAAAATTTAATTTGTTGGACAGCAGGTTGAATATTTTGCTGGTTAACTACATTAAATATAGCTACAATTAATTTATTTGCAAGATTTCATGAGGTTCGCAGCACTTTTCAAATAACTTAATGCTTCTTGAGTTTACGAGGGCTGTTCAATAAATAATGTCCTGAACTGTATGACATACAATACAGATATCATATGACATTAAGCTTGACTTTCTCTCATTTTTTAATCTTTAATGAATTTATAACAGTTTTTGCGACCACTTTTCAGCTCACCTGAGTGAGCTTTTCTGATCACATTTTGTCTGTAGTCCGTCTGTCCGTCCGTCTGTCTAGCTGTCCGTCTGTCTGTCTGTCTGTCTGTAAACTTTTCACATTTTCGACTTCTTCTCAAGAACCGCTGGGCCAATTTCAACCAAACTTGCCACAAAGCATCCTTGGGTGAAGGGGATTCAAGTTTGTTCAAATGAAGGGCCACGCCCTCATTCAAGGGGAGATAATTGGGAATTAATAAAAATTTGGTGGCATGTTTTAAAAATCTTCTTCTCAAGAACCACTGTGCCAGGAAAGCTGAAACTTATATGGAAGCATCCTCAGGTAGTGTAGATTCAAATTTGTTCAAATCATGACCCCCGGGGGTAGGGTGGGGCCACAATGGCCGACCAAAGTTTTACATAGAAATATATACGAAAATTCTTTAAAAACCTTCTTCTCAAGAACCACTGTGCCAGGAGAGCTGAAACTTATATGGAAGCATCCTCAGGTAGTGTAGATTCAAGTTTGTTCAAATCATGACCCCTGGGGGTAGGGCGGGGCCACAATGGCCGACCAAAGTTTTACAAAGAAATATATAGGAAAATTCTTTTAAAATCTTCTTCTCAAGAACCGATGTGCCAGGAAAGCTGAAACTTAATATATGGAAGCATCCTCAGGTAGTGTAGATTCAAATTTGTTTAAATCATGACCCCCGTGGGTAGGGCGGGGCCACAACGGCTGACCAAAGTTTTACATACAAATATATAGGAAAATTCTTAAGAAATCTTCTTCTCAAAAATAACAAAGCCATAATTGACCATATTAATATGGAAGCATCCTAAGTTGTGTAGATTCAAGTTTGTTCAAATCATGACCCCTGGGGGTAGAGGCAGGGCTAAAATTGCCAGCCAAAGTTTTACATAGAAATATATAGGAATTTTTTTGAAATCTTCTTCTCAAGAATAGTAAAGTCATAATTGATCATATTTATTTGAAAGTGTCCTCAGGTAGTGTAGATTCAAGTTTGTTCAAATCATGACCCCCAGAAGTAGGGCGGGGCCAAAATGGCCGATCAAAGTTTTATATAGAAATATGTAAGAAAACTCTTTATAAATCTTCTTCTGAAGAATAGTAAAGCCATAATTGATCATATTTATATGGAAGCATCATCAGGTTGTGTAGATTCATGTTTGTTCAGATCATGACCCCCGGGGGTTGGGCGGGGCCACAATAGGGAAGTTTTACATAGAAATATATAGGAAAAAACTTTAAAAATCTTCTTCTCAAGAACCACTGGGCCAGAAAAGCTGACACTTATGTGGAAGCATCCTGGGGTAGCCTAGATTCTAAATGGTTAAAATTGTGACCCCCGGGGGTTGGACGGGGCCACAATAGGGAATCCAAGTTTTACATAGAAATAAATAGGAACAAACTTTAAAAATCCTCTTCTCAAGAACCAACAGGCCAAAAAAAGCTGAAACTTATGTGGAAGCATCCTGGGGTAGTGTAGATTCTAGATTGTTGAAATCATGATCCCCCAGAGGGGGGGGGGAGGTCACATTAGGTATTACAATGGGGAAATTGGGTAAAGAACGGCATCACCAATGATGCTCAGGTGAGCGATGTGGCCCATGGGCCTCTTGTCATCACATAGTTTCATTGTGAGAAGCTGGAAAACAAGGGCTATTCGAGACACTGCATTATAAATGAATGGTAAAGAATCTGTAAACTAGAGTGAAATTAAAAGCTTCATTAAAACTGCTGTAAAACTTGTAAAAAATCCCAATCAAATATTCACTGAAATATGTGAAATTTACAGCAACTAATGCCTGTTTTATAGACAAATGAGCAGGTGGATTTCAACGATAAAAAAAATTATATACTAGTAATGGGCATCAAAAATGGGTACCGTCCTTGCCAACAAAAAATTATAACAACTTATGCACTGTTTGCCAAATTTCAACAAATAATATTTGATGATGTATGATTTACTTTAAGACACAAAGCAAATTTGATAGACATCATTTCGGGAGTAGTTTACACTGTTTTTAAGAAACGTTTAACGGAAAAAAAGGTTAGTACTCAAAGGTCACCCTATATTTTGTAAAATGAGTGAAAACGACAGCGTGTACGAATGTCTTAACAATTATTTTAAAATATCAGTAATTGTAGTTATCCACGTTTGTTTGAAATTCAAACAGATAATGAAACTTGAATCTATTGCTGAAAACCCTCTAAACAACATTTACCATAAGATGTTCTTTACAAGGATTGACAAGAGCAAAGAATTGCAAGAGCACGAAGACAGATTTATATGCAATTTTCTTAAATATTAGTGGTATTGTTGTTCAAATTCGTATTCGGGGAGATACAATGTAGTTTAATTTCTTGAGGAGTCTAGAAAGCAAAACATTTTGAAAAAAAAAAAAAAAAAAAAAAAAAAAATCGAAAGGTTTATTAGAAGAAGGACCTAGAATCAGGAATCCACTACATTGAATTTCTTTATGACAGCGCCCAAATCCGCACGCCCTGAAGAGAAAGGATTTTTTGGGATAAACGGAAAGTTGATGTTTTTTCACATTAACAATATTCGCCAGATCTTTGACCTTTTGACTTGTTTTTATTTCCAAACTTGAAAAAAACACCTTTCAGAAGGAAGAAACAAGCTTAAGAAATGATAGGATCTGCCATTTTCCAGTATACTAAGGGTCATACCCCAAAACGAGTTCTAAAAACAATCAGAAATTGGATAAAAAATGTTACCGACATGATTGTGTTTTAATAAAAATAGAATACTAATTTAAATCATTAAGACTAACTCATTGAAAAGCGTCTTTTGCTTCTTTCCGAGCACCGAGGACATTATTTATTGAACAACCCTCGTATGTGTAAAAACTTGGCAAGATACACCGAGGGTATGCCCTTGCAATAAATCGATTTATTAGGGCCCTTCTATTACTTTTCAGTGAATCTGCATACAAACACACGAGAGTATCACTTGTCTGGAGAATATTCAAGCAGTATATAAATAAAATATATATAGTAACATAGACATCGCATCCAAGTTAACGGCATTTTAAATAACTCCAAATGATATTTTATTTGAGAACAAGAACATTTTTCATTGTACAAAATATGACTTGATCAGCCTCTCACTGTACAAACTGTCATTTTTGCGAGATGTCGTCACTTTGACAATTGCATTGTGATCGATGCATCGTTAATTTTTGTTGTGTGGTATTTAACAAAAACAAAACTGCATGTAATAGTAAGTTTTTATGTAGTTTACAGCTTTCAGCAGTTTGAATAATTTCATTTTGTGGTATTTTTTTGAAGATCTTATTTTTTGTGTGACGTCATAGTAAACATTTCCCGTACATATTAGGCCCGGCCTCTTTACTGTAACCTTAACTGTGCTGCGTTACACATATCTATAAGTTTATCTATTCTTTAATCGGAATGACAAATACATTTAACTTGAGATTTGCATGTTTTGTATTATCCGCAACGTCATGCTTTCCCAGTCAGACGACTAAACGCACCTCTAATTCTGAAGAATTCTGTAATGAAAATAAAACGTATTAGCCACCCACTTTCAGTCCGCTTCCGACGCTTATGGTAAAAATATTGCCAGAATTGAATGGTTAATGATCAGTAAAGGGGAGACAACTGTTTCATGTAACAGTATATAATTATTGCCTCCTGATGGGACCACAGGTGGCCTGGTCTTAAAATCACTTTAATTCAACTGACAGAAAAACTGGGGTTAAAAAGGGCTTTATAATAAATATCTTCAAATAAGTCTTCAAATAATTTTGTCATTTGTAGCTCACCTCAACAAAGTTTGGAGAGCTTATGTGATACCCTCAGCGTTGTCATCGGTGTCCCAGGTTAAGGTTAAGTTTTTTGGAGCAGTTTTCTTTTTTAAGTACTTCTGTGCCCTGTATTAATTAGACATGCATTGAATATGCTTCTAGTGTGTTTCATTGTACAAGTCAATGTTGCAGATGATGCAGTTTCAGCAAAGGAATGGCCAGGTTAATGTTTTTGGAGCAGTTAACATTTTCGATGTTGGTCTCATTTCCAAGTAACTATAAGCCCTATGTTGACCAAACTTGCATGGCTGATACATCTAAGAATGTACACTACCATGCTGAATCTGACCTACATTTTCCAGATGAGTGATCAGGTTAATGTTTTTGGTGCTGGTCTAATTTTCTTGTTAATATATGCCCTATGTTGACCAAACTTGCATGGATGATATATCTAAGGATGTTCACAACCAGGCTTGCTTCAGTTGCTGAATCTGACCTACATTTTCCGGATGAGTGAACAGGTTAATGTTTTTGGTGCTGATCTCATTTCTGAGTAACAATAAGCCCTATGTTGTCCAAAACCAGGCTTGCTTCGGATACTGAATCTGACCTACATTTTCTGGATGAGTGAAAAGCTTAGTTTTTTATGCAGGTTTCATTTCCAAGTAACTATGAGCCCTATGTTGAGCAAACTTGCATGGATGATACATCTAAGGATGCACTCTAATGGACTTGCTTCGGATGCTGAATTCAACATACATTTTCCAGATAATGGACCAGGTAAAAGTTATGGGTTCAGATCTATCACCAAGAAACTATAAGGCCTATATTAGCCAAACTTGCACAACTGATGCATCAAGGGATGAAAACTCTCAAACTTGCTTCAGATGCTGGATTTGAATGGCATTTTCTTGATGAAGGACTAGTTTGAAGTTTTTGAATAGGTCTATTCTAAAGTAACTGCAAGCCCTTTCAGATCAAAATTGCATAAATTTTGCATTTTTAGATGTACACTTTTAGAATGTTGGTTAATTGTGTGATTTTACCTTACTTAAAGACAACATTCGTTGAGGTGAGCTCTGTAATCTCTGATTACCTTTGTTAATCATAACATCCTGTTTTTAAACTGATTTTTGAGATTATGTAGAAGACTTGCAGGAGATCGACATATTGATTTTTCATTCTTGTAACAATAACAACAAAACAGGATAAAGAGTCAGATTGATTCTGATATTCAGGAATAATGTTTCATTAATCAGAATCATTATGATTCTAAACATGATATGAGTAGATCTTTTCCCTTTAATTTGACATACTGTGTTTTTATTGTTATCTATTCTGTTTACTTATATGTAATAAATACAGGGTTATTTTTACCCATATCAAATCCACATGCAATTTTATCCAATTTTAAAATTATTTGCAAGTCTGCAAGTAGTGCTAAAGAGATTAATATGCTTTCTTGTTTCAATTTGCCCTGTTTTGAAAAATCATATGACTAGGGCAAAAGGGTTACTAAAATAAGTTATTTTACATCTTATAAATGATGCTTAAAAATATTCCTCTTAAAACTAAAACATCGTGGACTTTAAAAATGTTTCTTGAAGTTTACAAGTACAGTGTAGTTGTGTACAACACAATGCAATCCACAATGAAAAACTAATTATTTGTAATGCTTGAAATTTCAGTCATTATTTTGTCAATGGGGGATTCATGAAGAAGGATGGACAACTCCTGGATGAAGTAGATAAAATTCGTCACATTCCATGCACCATTGTCCAGGGCAGGTATGACGTAGTCTGCCCTGCTGAAACTGCCTGGTTACTGCATAAGGTAAATTCTTTTGAAAATTGTTTTTAAAAAACAGTATTTTAAATTAAAAAAACTAATTTTATAACAAAAGTACTAATCAAAAGAAGAACAGAAGGGGTGGGGGGGGGGGGGGTATGTGTCCCTTTCCCCAGATAATTTTGCTGATTTTAAAATATTATAGAAAATATAGCTACAATAGGCTGGTGCACCCTCTCTATAAAATAATCTGATGCCTTTTTATTGCTTGCTTGTCAAGAAATTTTTGTTGTTGATAGTGCCCTTCCCCCAACTGAAAATGTATGGGTTGTGCCCCCCCCCCCCCCCCCCCCCCCCCCCCCCCCCCCCCTCTTCAAACAGAAATTGCTTCTTACCAGCCTATTGGCTTTCAGGTGCTCTGTAGTAGCTACATGTAATCTGTCTGTCTGGCAGCCATTTTCCATCTCCAGTTTTTCTGGTTTTTGTTTGATAACCTTTACAGTTGCATTAGTTTTAATATTGGTAATTTACATTGTAAATTTGAACTTTTTGAAAATATTGGTTGAATAGGCAGAAAGATATATATTTTGATCCAATTTTGATTCTGGGCCTCATTTTATAGGTGCAAGGAGGGGGGGGGTTTGTACATTTCTACCAGTAATTTATAGGAAAATTTACCCCATGCAGTTATCTCTCTTTGCCCATTCAATCTTACATGTATTTAATAGACAAGTCCCTTATTAAAAGTTGTATATGATTGGGGATTTGAGGGAATTGGCATGACTGACTTATAAAGGATATCATCAGTTTATATTACCAAGGTTATACAATTATCTGTACATTTAAATTCAAATTGCACTTTTTTTAATAGCTGCAGAACTGTTGCTCGCAAATTGAGAATATACAGACAGATAAAACAGAGATTTTCTCAACCAGACAGCCACAGTCCTGCAGCTTTTTAGTATAAATTGGCAAAAAAAAATTGGGGGGGGGGGGAAGGGGGGCAATGTCATTTCTTGCTCACCATCCCATTCCAACTGCTATTTTAGCACTCCTTAATCATCTTATAACTTATAAACTTATAAAAGAGGTACCTGGTACATTTTAGGGTGCTATCTCTATAACTTTTCAAAGCATATTCTTTTTCATAGAAATGGCCAGAGGCTGAGTTTCATATTGTACCTGATGCTGGACATTCTAACAAGGAGTCTGGGACTGCATCTCTATTGCTGGATGCCACAGACAAATATAAAACTCTATAAACAAAACAAACTCAAATACACAACTTAGTAAACAAACCACCGATAAACACAAAACCATACATTGTAGAAACACAGACAAATAAAAAAAAACTCTACAGTATAAAATTAAAAACAAAACTCTATAGTACAAAGATAAATACAAAAATTAATAATCAAAACAAAGTCAAATACAAAACTATGTAAACAAATCAGACCAATGCAAATCTAATACGTAAACAAAACAAAGACAATATAAATTCTATAAAACACAAACAAATCCAAAAAATGAAGACAAATTAAAAAAAACCTCAGTAAATTAAAGAAAGACAAATACCAAAAACCTATGAACAAAACAGACAAATACAAAAACTCTAAAAACGAAACAAAACTTTAAAAACACAGATAAATACAAAACTCTTTAAAAACAAAACAAAGACAAAAAAAATTAAAACACAATATTTTAAGAACACGGTCAAAAACTAAACTTATGAGACACAGACAAATGCAAAAATTTATAAACACAGATACATTCAAATACAAAACACTCTAAACAAAACAAAGCCGAAACAAAAATGTAATCAGAAGAAAGACTAATACAAAATACAAAACTCCATAAACAAAGAAACTTTTTTTGTACACAAAACACAAACAAATAAAAGATTCATTCAATGAATAAAAAACACAGACAAATACAGTTTTGAGTAAAATTCACAAAAAATTACATGATTATGAGTAGAAATGATACTGCATTTCTTTCATAACATTTTGTACAGACTATAGCTAGATATGATGAATAGAACATAGTTGCATTTAACCTCAATGGCATTTTTATTTGTGTATCCCAGATATGCTCAATGTTCTGTTCCTGTATAAGAAAAATATTGTAATAAATAAAAATCATCACCGAGTTCACTTGTCTTTTTGTAGATACATGTAAATATAGAAAGAAAAATTTGAATTTGTGGATTTTTTCATGCCTTAGTGGGCTTTTGTGAGAAGCACTTTTACAAATGACTGCTTACCTATATCATGAATGGAGGTACAGAAATGGTAATAGATAATAAATCATTAATTTCTAACATCTGAAGACTGGAAGTTGAGAGTAGTGTGATTGATTTTTTTTTCAAGAACAACTTATTTGTGCTATGAAATAACCAAATATTTTAGTTGAATTCAATGATGAGCTAAATATTCATAATTATCTTAAAAGAGCTTCCGTACATTGTCCTAGTGTAAAAGTAAACCGTCAACTGTAAAAATCAGCGCTAATCAAAGTCCAGATGGCATCAAAAAGTAAATAGAAGCTTTTAAAAACGGGATCATACCAAAAAGATCTACAGCCATTCTCATTGAGAAGGCACAATACGTACCTATGATTGGTTTCTGCTGTGTAGTATATAACTGGAAAATGAACATGGAACGTGTACCATTCATGCAAGCCGAAATAATTTAATTTCAGCTGTAACACGTCATTTGATTGGGTAAAAGATTTAATCCATTTCGTATAACATAACTTGCCTACGTCACAATGAGTTACGTCAAAAACGTATCACTCCGGTTGACGTTACTTTTAAAATAATGCTCAACTTGAAGCCTTTTTCTGGAGAAAATATTGTTTCATTGTCTACATTGAAATTAAATTATAAGAAATGAAGCTTATTTCAACTTATGTTATCCGATATAACAAAACTTGGGGAAGTTTACGCTTATTTATAAACCGCTTCGCAGTTTATAAAGCGTAAACTGTCCCAAGTAATTTTATATCGGATAACATAAGTTGAAATAAGCTTCATTTCTTAAATGAAACGAGGTTTTAAAAAATCATGGCACATATATTTGAATCTGTTGACTAGAACTGTAATTTTGGGCCAACCCTTTAAATTACATAATTATTTTCATTCAAAAAGTTATTTTACTTTTTACCTCTTTAGTGTCTGCATGAATGCCTTCGTTATCGGACTGAGAAAGAAACTTCGAGATATCCGAGGATTCGAAATATTGAGGGTAAAATACTTAAGGTAATTCCACCCTCCTATGATGTCATAGGTTTTTGCAAAAAAAAGAGTTTTAAAAATGCATAATTTCTTAATTTAATCAATTATTCAATGTTTTAAAAATGTTGCCAAGGGCATTTACTCCTTCTAAGTTATCTTCATTCAGGCATTTGCTTTATTGTTCTAATGTAAATATTTTAATTCACAATTTAAAAGAATTTTAAAAATTCAGCATCAGAATTTGCATTTTAACCAGTTTAATCAATTTTTCAATCTTTTAAAAAAATGTTTTTTTATGTTGACATACACATCTGGTTATTTATGTTTCTCAAGTTAAATAATATGGTGACCTATACATTTTTTGCAATAATTGGAAAATTTAATGTATATTAAATGAAAATAAATGCAGTTTTTTTTTACTTTGAACCATTAAAATTGTGAGGATGGAAACACCTTAAAGAATATGTGGTTGGGACTTACAAATCACTTCGATATATCCATGGTATTCGAGATATCGGAGTTCGAGATAGAGATACCAAAGTTCAACTGTGTATTAATTTTTTTTATTTAATTGGAACTTTTTAAAATCAAATCTTCCAAGAAATATATCCCACACTGAGTATTGCAGTGCAGTATATTGATATTTCTATCTTGTGCAAATAAATCCTTAAATCCAGTACAACACAAATAAGATAACAGTTGATAGAAATTGCAAAAGGCTGTTGATAAAAATCATTGCAATATTTGCTCTACGCTCAAAGGAAATTTCGTCCAAGGTGGCATTACCGAATTGTTCCTCGTGGTTAGACGCTTGGTCATTGGTATCCAACGTTTTGTTTCCATTAGCCATCTTGGCCTCCTGTCCCTTCTCTAAGTCACACAGTCCGTTGTGAGAATTAGTTTCTTTCATTTTATATTTATACTTCTTTAATGTTGTTACAATGGAAACAATAGTCGACAAGACACAAAGAAGCAACTGGAAACCAACATACACAGAAAGATAGGGCACGTCTGTGGAATTCTGAGGCATCGTTTGTTCAAATAATGTTAAAAAGACAGTGAAAGCCAGTAAAAGAGTCAATGAATATTGGATTCTCTCCCCTGATTCCAGAGGGATGACGAACGTCATAGAACTTAAGATAGCCATTGCAAGTATGGGCACGAGTACAGTTAGAACAGAGTAAAGATAGCGTCTTTTCAGGTGAAGCTCGTAATTTAACATAGTCTGATCAAGTTCCTTATAATATATCAAAGTATGTGAAAACTTTGTGAACTCCCATTCTCCATTTTCTGAAATAATGTCTAAATCGTAATCGGGTCGTTGTTTTGGAATAAGTTTTTGCATGGAATCGGTCAATAACCATGGAGAAACTAATATAGAACATGTCTGTTTATCGAAAGGAAATTTCTTCATCTTCAGCCCACAAGTGACAACGAACTTTCCTCCAGGAAACCAAACCACATGACCGTTAGCATTCACCGTTACAAACGAATGAGCCCCAGTTTTATAAAAGTTGCTCTCAGAGTCAATAATGGATAAATCTGGAACCCAAATTTTCTGAAAAGGCAAAACAATCGTTTTTATTTCGGAATTCTCTGTCTCGTTCCAAGTCAAAAATTCGTCGTCCCACTGGACATTGAACCAGGCATAAAACGAAATGTATTGAAGTTGTTCCTCTACTTCGTGGACTGAATTAATAATCATTTGAATGCTCACGTTTACAGCTTCACTTTGGTTTTTTCTTGGTTTTAAGATTGAGCTATAGTTCCTGAAAAGATTTGTCTCGAAGGAAGATTTGCACAGACAGACACGGAATAATAAAAACACAGCACATGGAAATAAAAGTCTCATGTTTATGCTAACTGCAAGATTTAAACCTACTGGTGCAATGCTACAATAATAAAATTTCTTTCGAATCGGAGTATGGTTGAGCGAATCATTAACAAAATGTCCTATTAAGCTCATATTTGCTTTGTCATTCTAAATTAATGTAACTATTTATACAAGAGATATATACTTTCAATTCTTTTGATTACAGCTATTAAAACCCATTTATTAATTACAAATAATCATTGTCAATCTAAAAGTAAGATATAGATAAGCTAATATTCTATTTCAGCAATCAAATTAACCGGAGGAGCTTATGATAATAATATGTCTGAAATCAATTAGATGGCTTTAATTCAGTGAACGAATCCAGGAAACAGCTTCTATTTTCACAATTGAAACATTATTCTTTATTGGATCTAAACACTTCGTGTTTTACGTCCCACATTTTAACTAGATCATGATATCAGTAGATAATATGATCGGTGATGTCCTAATTCGTAGTTTTTAATAGGCATTGAACCCATTAACTAAATTGAAATCAAGCCACCACGTTTCAAAATAACACCCTGTAGTTGCAATTAATTAAGCATCATTTGCTTGTTTCATTTTAATATTTTCATCTAAATATCTAAAATGGTCAGAAGAAAACGAAATCTCGACAAATCTCTCTCTCTCTCTCTTTTTTTTTTGGCATGCATCATGTTACGTGCTGTACCAAATCTATAAACTTCTTCTTCACTTGATACCCCCCGCCTCCCATATGGTTATAACTGGTTTTTTTTTTTATGTTTCAAAAAGCATGCATCATATTATGTTGCTGTACCTGGCAAACAAAATAAACTATAAATAAAGACACTGTGAACACTGAGCTCACTAAATGATATATACCCCCTCCTCCCATTTGACTTAATAATGGCAAAGCCCATGTTTTGATCTGGGAGACCTGAAATTAGTGTCAGATCAAAAATTAAAATAGGAGGTGCACAATTGCATTATGTAAACAAGAATCTGTGAAAGTCTCGTTAAATTTTATTCAGCGATAAAGAAGGAGTTGCGGATAAGAGATTGGTACCCTTCAATATTACAGAAGTGAATGGCAGTGTCGATGTTTTGCTAACATAAAATACACCTTAATTTCTTTCTAAATACAATCCATCCTTAGGTCGACTGTTCGTTGGCAAATTACAATTTCTTTTTAAAAATTGGTCATTGTTTTCACACTTCATTGGCTACTGTAAGGAATTGTGAATTCGGTTACCTGATCATACAGAACAGAAAGGACTAAGAAGGCGTGTACCGGTGGTAAGGGTTGTTTACTACTATTCCATGGCTCCTCTTTCTTTGTCTCGTGTTTCAAGAGTCAATATTTGTTGTCTGCTTACAATGTGCATTGTTTGAAGAGACCTTTGAGGTTGTTCACCAAGCACATTGGCATCACATGTTTTGGCCATTTCATTTTTTCATAAAATTTTGAATTTGTTAGACCCATCCCAGAATTTTCTTGTTCAGTTATTGTTAAAAGGGTGTCAAAAATCATGCCAAGGAACAAACTCAAGACTCCCAGTAACGGGGGAAATTCCTGCAAAACTTATAGAAGCTATACGTCATACAAGCTCTACTTGGAGTCACCGAATTCTTTTAAGAGCATTGTTTCTTACAGCATTTTTTTTTGGATTTTTTAGATTGGGAGAATTATTTGTTAGGACACCGCAATCTATGAATCAAATGTTTTTAAGGTCAGACATACATTTTGAAACTGAGAAAGGGAAATTGAAAAGTGTGTAAGTTTGATTTTGCGTCACACACAAAAACTATGCAATCAGATCAGTCAGTTACCATCTACCTAGAAGTCCAGTCTGTAAAAGAACTCTGTCCTGTGTTTGCCCTTTTTGAGTAATATCTGCGCCAATTTAAACATTCAAAAGGGACCCTTTTTCAATTTTTTGATGGCACTCCAGTTTCACAGTCATTTGTTTCAAAACATTTAGATGCAAGTATTACATTCATCGGTTTGAATCAAAAAATGTACAAAGGTCATAGTTTTTTGTATTGGGACAGCAACTCATGCAGCTAGATTGGGTTCTTCTGAAAATGCAATTCAACGTATGGGTAGATGGAAATCTGATGCAGTCAAGAGATATATAAGGACAGGATCCTTTACTCTTTCTCTCCAGTAGTTTGTCTTTTTCCACAATTGATTGAATCGATAATGGATGGTCTACCACCCTCTCCTAATAATAACAGTACATCACAAAACATCTGCTTATAAAGGTCAACCTGCAATGAATTTTTTATTAAACAGAATTCTTGTCATCTTCATGTATGTTGTCCCTTAATTAGCCATAAATGGGTCAGATGATATCGGTCATGTTCAAGTAGGTTATCCCCAAATAAGCTGTAAATGGGTCAGATTATGTCTGACATATTCATGTAGGTTGTCCTTAGGTCAGCGTCAAATGGTTCAGATTAGGTCTGTCATCCCCTTCCCCCCTACAATTTATTGCCCCAGAGTTATTTTCAGTCATGTGCAATGGATGATTAGAGAGTAAATAAAATTGGAGCATAAAATAAAGGACTCAGGCATTTGGAATGTGTACTGCGAAGCATTTGTATAGACTAAATTACTGTTTGCAATGTAATTAATTGTAGTTAACCTTTGCTGATATGTTGTTCATTACAAATATACAAATGTTTTAAACCTTTGCACGGGAAATATTGTTTATCATTTATTCAATTAAAACGTGGTAAGTTATAGGGGTTGCTGGCCACCATTTATTATTCAGGTATACAGAGCGATCATCTTTTCTTAAAACACATGTATTAAGGTTATTAAGGTTTTTTAGCTCACCTGAGCCGAAGGCTCAAGTGAGCTTTTCTGATCAAAATTTGTCCGTTGTCTGTCGTCGTTGTCGTTGTTGTCGTCGTCGTTGTCGTTGTCGTCGTAAACTTTTCACATTTTCATCTTCTTCTCAAGAACCACTTGGCCAATTTCAACCAAACTTGGCACAAAGTATCCTTGGGTAAAGGGGATTCAAGTTTGTTCAAATGAAGGGTCACGCCCTCTTCCAAGGGGAGATAATTATGAATTAGTGAAAAATTAATAGCATTTTTAAAAAATCTTCTTCTCAAGAACCACTGGGCCAGGAAAGATAAAACTCATGTGGAATCATCCTCAGGTAGTGTAGATTCAAGTTTGTTCAAATCATGACCCCCGGGGCTAGGGTGGGGCCAAAATGGCCGACCAAAATTTTACATAGGAATATATAGGAAAAATCTTTAAAAATCTTCTTCTCAAGAACCATTGAGACAGGAAAGATGAAACTTAAATGAAATTATCCTCAGGTAGTGTAGATTCAAGTTTGTTCAAATCATGACCCCCGGAGATAGGGTGGGGCCAAAATTGCCAACCAAAGTTTTACATAGAAATATATAAGAAAAATATTTTAAAATCTTCTTCTTAAGAACCATTGAGACAGGAAAGTTGAAACTTAAATGAAATTATCCTCAGGTAGTGTAGATTCAAGTTTGTTCAAATCATGACCCCTGGGGCTAGGGTGGGGCCAAAATGGCCGACCAGAGTTTTACATAGAAATATATAGAAAAAAAATCTTTAAAAATCTTCTTCTCAAGAACCACTACTCCAGGAAAGATGAAACTCTTGTGGAATCATCCTCAGGTAATGTAGATTCAATTTTGTTCAAATCATGACCCCCGGGGCTAGGGTGGGGCCAAAATGGCCAACCAAAGTTTTACATAGAAATATGTAGGAAAAATCTTTTAAAATCTTCTTCTTAAGAACCATTGAGACAGGAAAGATGAAACTTAAATGAAATTATCCTCAGGTAGTGTAGATTCAAATTTGTTCAAATCATGATCCCTGGGGCTAGGGTGGGGCCAAAATGGCCGACCAGAGTTTTACATAGGAATATATAGAAAAAAATCTTTAAAAATCTTCTTCTCAAGAACCACTATGCCAGGAAAGATGAAACTCTTGTGGAATCATCCTCAGGTAGTGTAGATTCAATTTTGTTCAAATCATGACCCCCGGGGCTAGGGTGGGGCCAAAATGGCCGACCAAAGTTTTACATAGGAATATATAGGAAAAATCTTTTAAAATCTTCTTCTCAAGAACCACTGGAATAGGAAAGATAAAACTCGTGTAGAATCATCCTCAGGTAGTGTAGATTCAAGTTTGTTCAATTCATGACCCCCGGGGCTAGGATGGGGCCAAAATTGCCAACCAAATTTTACATAGAAATATATAGGAAAAACATTTTAAAATCTTCTTCTCAAGAACCACTGGGCCAGGAAAGATGAAACTTATGTGGAATCATCCTCAGTTAGTGTAGATTCAAGTTTCTTCAAATCATGACCCATGGGGCTAGGGTGGGCCCAAAATGGCTGACCAAAGTTTTACATAGGAATATATAGGAAAAATCTTTAAAAATCTTCTTTTCAAGTACTTCAAAGCCATGATTAGTGATATTTTTCTATTTATATGGAATCATCCTCAGGTAGCGTAGATTCTACTTTGTTGAAATCATGACACCCAGGGGGGTTAAAATTCAAGAGTAAACTTTCAGTTTTGATCTGATATGTGCTTTTGCCTAGTCGATGTGCTCAGGTGAGCGATGTGGCCCTTGGGCCTCTTTTCTCATATGTTGTCCATGTACACGAGTTGTTTCCGTTGGGTGGCGGAAAATCCAATGTAGTTGGATTTTTGGTGGCCTATTGTTTGTTGCCACCTTATTTTTCAGAAATTTTTATATATTTGTCTTTTTTTGAATATATATTTCAATTTTTGGAAAAACAAGTTTTAAAATCTTCTTCTCCAATATAAGAACCACTGGTAGCCAGGAAAGATGAAACTTACG